TAATTTTTGTAATTTAAAAAATAAAATTTATTTTAATCTCTCAAGATCAATAGTAGTATCATTAATATGGACAAATTGAACTAGCTAATTGTAAAATATTAACCATGTGCGATTTTTTTTTAAAATATATAGATTTACTAACAATATTTGAATAGAGAAACTAAAATATATAATTTTTTAAATTAAAAATTAATTTAAAATTTGAGAGATAAAAATAAAATTATTTCATATTTAAGAGATTAGACCTGTATTTAAATCTATATCTTATTATGAATTGTATTTGGTTTATGAATAAAGAAAATAAAATAAAACGAAAGAAAGTGAGTAGAATATAAGATAATTATTTAATTGCTTGATTGCAAGAAAAAGAAAGAACAATTAAAAAAAAACATAAATGACCCTAATGAAAAAATCGCGTATAATAATTTTGTTTGTATGTGATATAATTATGAAGGTTATAATATAATTTATATTTTTTACTATCGTTTTTGTTTCTCCAAATCGGAGAAAATCAATTTTAGATGGGACCCACGGTGTTTTTTTTTCTTTTTCTTTTTCCTTCCTCTCCCATTTTCATATGTACTAAAAGAAAGGAATTTTATTGTAAAAACGAGGATTTTGTTTCAAAAAAATATTATTTAGTATCTTATCCAGTACTATGATTTTTATTTGAATTATGATTTTATTTGATATACAATTTTTTTTATTAATGCAAAAAAATTTACATATATTTTTATAATAAATTAACTTAAGAGTTTTATTAAAATTAAATTATTTTATGATTATAATTATTAGTGTTAGGTACTAACAAACAATTGTTTAAAAAAAATTATATATCTAACTTAACCTCACAAAATTGATTTAGACAAAGATTGTTTTCTTACTTATATATATCATATTGGTCATATCATTAGTTGATGTAAGATCTTCGACACACTTTTTCCACATTAAAAATTAGATATTTTGAGAGTAAAGTTACTAAATTACATATTTACGGATGATTCAATAACGATTTGATAATAAGTGATTTGATAAGTATAAGAATAATCAATAATCACTAAAATAAATTTTAGTATTATTTTAAGAAATTGAATAGTAAACTTAACCTCAAAAAATCATCTTATATTATAAAATTATTTCTAGCTTATATACATTATATTAATTATATTACTAATCAATATAAAATATCTAACAATGTTGTTTAAGATAATATATAGACTAATAAGTTACTTATTAAAGTCAAACTATGTTTTCAAAAAGATTGTTTGATAGAAGATACGAGACACACAAAGAGGGCCCAAATAAAACATATTTTACCTTCATTTTTTTTCATATAATGAAATTGGGTTTAACCTAAGATAAAAATAGAATAAAATAGATTACATAGTTTGACCATGGCAAAGTAAAAAAGAAAAGGTAAGTACTAAGTGACGTTAACAAAAAGAGAGGAGAGAAACGTGGGAAAAAGAAGGTAATGAAGAAAAAAAGGGTTGATTATGTGATCAAACGGTTCATGAACAAAGCCTTGTGTTGAGTCCCACTGCCAGACCATATGATTAGATTTAGACATGGAAGGAGAAAACACGTTGCAGACAACAATTGGGTGTGAAAGAAAGAGGTTTTGAACAAAGGGAGTGACACCTATAAAGTTTGAAGAAAACCCCTTGATGGGAACAGATTCGCAATTCACATGAGATCTATTCTAGATCACTAGGGAAAGAGGACCCCGCAAAG